AAAAAAAAAAAAAAAAAAAAGGTATGTCACATCATTGTTTTTATTCATACTTTTATCACCTAAGTGATACATCCCTGAACACTATGGCTTACTTTTAAAATAAACTTTTCATATTAAAATAGATTTAGATTTACAGAAAAATTGTGACGTTAGTACAGTTTCCCCTATTATTAACATCTTACATCACTGTGGTACATTTTTCCCAATTAATGAACCAATATTGATACCTTGTCTTACCAAAGCCCATTCTTTATTCAGATTTCCTTATTTTGCTTAGTGCCTTTTTTTTTTAACTAGAGTGATCATGTAGCAGAATAATACAAAATACAGCAAAGAGCCATATGTGAGAAAATTGTGTGCTCCCAAGCCTGGGAGTGGTAACTCTTAGTTCCCATATTCTTGGAACACCTTCCATGACTCTCTGGGGCAGAAAGGCTGGCTGGAGCACAAGGGTCTCCCTGCTGACTGCATAACTGGTCCATGCCCAGGGCACAGGCCAAGCACGTGGAATGAGGCCAGATGAGTTACATGAATTACACCTGCTCCCCTGACGGCCCGTAAGAGAGAAGTGCTCTCTACAAAAGCTCCAGCCCTGGCAGGGACCACTGCACCGCAGAGAGCTTAGAGATGGTTCCTCTGTGGCCAGAACGTAAAAACCTTAGACTAGTGTACGCCCTGCAATTCCCGTATCCAAATTCCTACTAACTGGAGAGGTAGAGGAATGAGAGATGCGAGTTGCCTCCAAGCTGATGTTTAGTCTTCAGTAAACAGGGATAAATACAAAACATGTTCCACAAGTGAGCTTGAACAGAGCTGAGCATAGCAGGTGAAAGATTCCCAAGCCCCATTTAGTACCCACCACGGAAGGAGACAGGGGAAGGGTATGGGAGGGGGAGATGTGTATGTTCTGCCGTGGTCACTGCTGTGACACGTCTGTCCTGCTGTCCTGGCCCAATTTGTATGGTTCCTCCCAGCTTTCTGGATCTGCCCTCTCCTGGCCCAGGGCTCTTACTTCTCTGAGCCTAAACCTCCCAGCCTCAAGCCTACACAGAGCAGAAATGCCAGAGGCAGAGGGCTCTCTGATGAGAGTGAGCAGGCAGTCTTCTCGAGAACATGAGGTTCTTCCACACCACCACCATGGTAGGGCAGGGCAAAGAGGGTGCTGGGTTCCAGGAGGCAGAAGGTGCAGCTCTGAGAGCAGGAAGGAGAGTTCAGCTGGGAGAATGACAGAAAGTCCATATCTTTTTTCTGTTCCAGGATCAGTTTTGCATGTTTTGAACTTTATATAAATGGAGTCATACAGTATCTCTTCTCCGTGTCTCTTAATCTTTCTTTCATATTTTTTTAAAGCTTTTTGTCAGTATTTTCCATTCTGGGTAATAATTTTAGTATATTCTTCATCACTGATTTTCTCTTCACACCCAACCATTGTTTGTCTGATTTAATTCAATATATTTTTAATTTCTTTTGTTCTATTTGGTTCTTTTTCGTATCCGCTAGGACTCTTTTGATAGTCCCTTGTTTCTTCAATCAAACTTTAATCTTTCAAAATTTCGTTGTACATATTACACACATTTATTGTTAGAATCATTATCTGATAATCCTGCTATTTTGCAGTGTTTTGGGATCTGATTCTGTTGTTTGTTTCTGCAGGTTCTCCCTCATGTGACTCATTCCCTTTTTTGTGACTTTTCATTGTGAGATCGTGTCCTTTGGGATTTTACTTATGGCACTTCTTTGAGGCCTGAATTTACCCCCGAGGGGATTTGCATTTGCTTCTTCCGTGTGCCTGGGGTCACTACCTACCTGAGACCTGTTTAAGCTAAGTTAGTATCTTGGGGCTTTTCAGAACACACAGGTAACACAAATTCTAGTCTCAGATGTGTGAGGGCCAGCTTGTGGTTACAAATTCTCAAAGATGATTCCTCCTTCCCTTAGAGCTAAGACTGAGAAGAACACATTTCTTTACCATCTCTGTGTGGGGCTGCCTCCAGCCCATGCAGCCCTCCGTTTGGCCTCATTGTTTCAAAAAGTCTCCAATCTGATTTTGCCTCTGTTGCCTCCCCAGCCCAATAAAAGCCAAAGCCCCTGGCTATCTCCCTGGATTCAGGCTTTTCCATTATTTTGATGTCTGAGGATTTCATTTCTTTTGTTACATTTCATTTCATTTCTTTCCTTACAAGCTCAGCCATATATTTAAAGAGATGGTCTATGTATTTTAGCCTACATTTTCAGGTATTCTGTGCTGAGGACGTTTTTATGTTATTTGGTCTGCCACATTGTTGATAGTGAAGCTGTTATATTATTCTTCATACTTTTATAATTGCTTAACATTTCATAATAATAATAATAACTACTAAACTATAAAATGACCACTTTCCCATGCTTTTAAATATAATTTTTTTAAACACCATTTTAAATGGATGTGTAGTATTTTATAATTATTTAACTAGTCCCCTTTTGATGGGTAGTTTTCCAGTATTTTGCTATTAAAAACATTGATGAAATGAACAACTTCATACCTATATCTTGCTGTGCAACCAAGATGAGTACTAGAATTAGAGTTACAGAGACAACACTAAACATTTTAAGGCTTTTGATATCTAAGTATAGGCCGTTTGGAAAGAGCACCCTTACGAATGACGTAGATACATCCGTGGCAGAAAGAGAGCGCTGGGCTCTGGCTCCTGACTTGCTGTGTGAGTGAACGTAGCCATCCGGGGTCAGTGTCTTCACTGTGGCAATGGAAGCATCGGATTGGGTAAGCTGCAGAGTTTCTGTCAGTATTAGCATCTGTGATTCACTCTGTGCTTTTTCTCCCCTATTCCCAGGTGACCTCACGGTGGACTTTCCGATGCCCAGGATGCCCTCAGGCCCTGTCACATGATGATTCCCATTTTCACGAGCGGCACAAATGTATCAACTTTTTTGTTAAGGTGTATGGCTATATGCCCCTACTGTACACCCAGTTCAGGGTGGACTCTGTGCTCTTCAAGACCCGCCTGCCCCACGACAAGACCAAGTGCTTCAAGTTCATCTAGGGGCGTTGCAGTTTGTGGGGAGAGAATGAGCAGAGTGAGGGAGATGGCTCCTGAGGTTGCTAGACGTTGAAGGACCTCAGGCACATTTGCTGGGTGGGTGGCCCAGACCCTCTGCTGGCAGGAACGGCAGGAAGAGTGAAAAGGAAGGAGCTGCCTTTCTCTTGAAGTCGGCCACACTGGGCCTGGAACCCTGGTTGGAGGTCACTGGGGTTCCCTACACAGGGCACTGACTGATAGCTTACACTGAGGACCATGGGGACTCTGGAGAGTCACTCACACAGTTCATAAGCCCAGAACAGCTGGTTAGTGGTTTTTAAATTCAGTAACAACTATTATTATTTAAAGAGATAAAGTTTCAGATTTGCCATTCAAGGCTTATTTATATATATGTGTGTATATATATGTGTATATATATATGCACACATAGTCACATACGTATACATATATATATTTAGGGGGGAGTTTGAAATTTCTGCCTATCTCACAAAGTGAGGGACTCACCAAGGCTCCTGATGTTCTGTATTTTGGTGGAGATGGATCCTGACCTTATGGTATCTGGTTCATCCTTCAAGATCCATCTCTGTCCTCCCAAGGCGCATCTGTGTGCAGAAACCAAAAGGGCCCGGCTTGGCCCTCTTGTCGGGCCTTGGATGAGCTAAGACCTGTTGGTTTGTTCCTTCCCCCTTTCTGTTGCCAGCTAGCCCTCTGTAACTCGTGTTCTCCTCGCACTTCAGTCCTTGGGGAGGACCTGCACGTTTGGGAACAGCTGAGCTTCCTTGTGCTGGATTTGGTGTTCGTGAGGATTCCTCATCAGGTTGTGCTGTCCCAGTACTTGTCCCTGCTCTCCTGTTCTCTCCCCCCTTTGAAAGAGAAGAATGAGGAAGAATGAGACCTGAAGACCCATATGGCTTTTTGTCCAGCCCTCCTTTTAAAAAACATGTTGTGCTTTGGCTTCAGGTTTTCCTGAAGGTTACCTGTTATATAAGAGAACAGAAAACTGTCAGGCTGCACTTCGAGGTGTGGTCTGAAGTGGTTTGCAGGTTGTCCTGCTCTCTCGCGTAGAACTAGCGAGCATCCTTTGTGGATCCCCACCCGGCTGGCCGGGAAGTCTTACAGCAAGGCACCAGCCTTGGGATAAATACCTTGGTGAAATTCACCTTCCCCTCCACCTTAGTCTGGACCTACATCCTGTGTTACTCATAGTTTTGGGGTCCCTCATGCCAGGTTGGTTCCAGGACCCCTTGAGGTTTGGTATGTGCCAGAACAATGGGAGGATATGATTTTATGTTAAGCTCAAATCTAGTCTGAAATTGAACAGGCATTCACACCCCTCATTACCACTTTCCACTTCTGGTTTAAATTTCTATTCCCTGGCCTGAAATGGAAATAGGCTAACTTTGTGGCAGTGGTGGTAGGGGAACCGAAGAGGGTGTTAGTGGCGTTTGGCAGGGATTTAGCCTATGACTTCTACCATTTTTCCGGACCCCACTTTCTTCCAGCGAGGTTGAGTATAGGTGGTTTCCCGCATCTGAACAAAAGCTCAGGTCTGTCCTGGTCATGCACATGCCTTAAGCCAGTTCTGTCTGCCCCAGACCTTGACATCCTGTGCTTCTATTTCTTGGTGGCACGTTCTCCTCTGACCTGCCTGTACCAAATGGCTTCTCGTCAAGTATCGTTTTGAAGCCAGGCTCTGTCCTGTAGATACCACCCAACTGTGGGGCTAGCTCGACCTAAGGGACCTCTCCTCATCAGCACACAGGACCAGGGCTGCTCCTAGGACTTGTGTCCTCCAGAGGTTCCCACTAGCATCTTCTTGTTGCTCTCCTGCTGAGGCAACTACTTAGGAAGTTGAGTTATGCTTTTCAGCAACCCAGCAAAGGGGTCCAGACTCCCTGCATCCTAACTTTCTAACACCCTTTCCTTGACTTCTGACTTTCTTCTTTTTAGCAGTAGCCTTCTTCCCTCTGGGGAGCCAGAGTGTGGTGTTTTCAGCTATATAAGTGGCTGCTATTTTTATCTTGTTCATTTTAATATGGGGAACTCATGAACTGACTTCATTGGGACCTGGTGAGCAAGGAGCAGTCTGTTAGGACCCTCTTAGTGGAGCCAGATTGTTGGGTCCCTGAATGCTGCCGTAGATCCAGGAGTAGCTGACTGGTCTGAGGTGATGGCTAACATCAAAGTGGACTGTAGGGAGGGTTATGATGTCAGTGTTTTAAACAAGGATAGCACTATTTGGACCTGACCAGGACACTAACTTGAAGGACTCCAGACAGCAGGCTCTGGTGGACACTGGCCATGTTCTTCAAGGACACTCCTCAGTAGTGAGAGGCAGGGCAGTCAGACCTTTCTGATTGCTTGGTTAGGTGCTCCTGGAGATGGCTGCTGCTTTTCACAAGGTGGAGTAGGGAAAGGCCCAGCTCCGTGCTTAGAATGCCTTTGATGCTGGTCAGTCACCTTGGGAAACCCAGATGTCGTCCACACCACCTAACTGTGATTCACCTGGAACGTGAAAACAGCTCCGCAGCCCCCCACGAGTTTCCTTGGCTGTCCACAGGTAACACCTTGTTGCCTAGTCTTTGCTCCCAGGGCCCAGGAGGTCATTGTTCTCCTTCTAGCCAGTTTGCTCCTCACCACAAGGGGCATCCACCTAAGTGAGAGCCCCCCAAGGTGCTCAGCAGGCCATTCTGAGCGTCCGCACCCCTGACAGTGTTCTCCATGTGGTGTGGACTGGGCCTCAAGCCAGGGCCTGCGCAGAGTTGGTGGGGCCCAGTCTGGGGGCACAGGAAGAGTCTCTTCAGGAGCTGCCTGCGTGTGTGCTCAGGGGGCTCCTGGTTTGAAGTGATATTTTGAAGGGGGAGCTCTTTGATATCCATGCCATGTCCATCCACCCCACCCCTTTACCAGTCATGAGCACAATGGTCTTATGTTGGATTTTTGTAAAAAATAAAATAAATGGATACTTTAACTCAAGCAGCTTGGGGGTCTTTTGTGATTTTCCTCTGCAGGGACAGAAGAGTGACCTGAGAGAAGGTGCCTGCCTGAGTCCAGGGAGCCAGCAGTGCACGGCCACTTGGGACCCCCCACCATGAGACTGGGCTGTGTGATTTGGTCCTGGAGCAGCCTGGGACCTGAACCTAGGTGATGCTGTCCACGTGCACAGACACGGCAGCCTTGCCTGCGTCCATTTCTGGGATTAGTCATTTAACTGATTTGAGTGGGATGTGGGATGACATCTGGCACATACACGCCACCTTTACTTTTTCATGGTAATTTTGAAAAGTATGTGTGGTGTGGTGCTGGGGATCTTGTGTGTGCATGTGTCCCCAGTCCAGGGGAGAGGGCTTGCTTAGAATGGCCTGAGTCAGTCTAGAGGTTATTCTGCTGACCTACAAGAAGTCACTAAAAGCACTTACATCCAGTTGATGCTTTCTTTTTTTCTTTTTTATTAATACCATTTTTCCTTTGTTTTTGTTTTTTATCTTTCACTTTTTTTTTTTATTGAGGTAACAGTGGTTTATAACATCCTATAAATTTCAGGTGTACATCTTTATGTTTCTTCAATTTCTGTGTAGACTACATCGTGTTCACCACACAAAGACTAATTACCATCCATCGCCATACACATGTGCCCTAATCACCCCTTTTGCCCTCCCCTAGCCTTCCCCTCTGGTAACCACCAATCTAATCTCTGTTTGGTGTTGTTTTTATCTTCTACCTAGGAGTGAAATCATATGGTATTTGACTTTCTCTGACTTATTTTGCTTAGCATAATACCCTCAGGGTCCATCCATGTTGTCACAAATGGCAAGATTTCATCTTTTTTTTATAGCTGAGTAGTATTCCATTGTGTATATATACCACATCTTTATCCATTCCTCCCTTGATGGGCACTTAGGTTATTTCGAAGTCTTGGCTTTTGTGGATAATGCTGCAATGAACATAGGGGTGCAAATATCTTTACACATTCGTGTTTTCATGTTCTTTGGATAAACACCCAGCAGTGGAATAGCTGGATCATATGGTAGTTCTATCCTTAATTTTTTGAGGAATCTCCATACTGTTTTCCATTGTGGCTGCACCAGTTTGCACTCCCACCAGCAGTGTATGAGAGTTCCCTTCTCTCCACATCCTCTCCAACACTTGTTATTTCTTGTCTTAATTATAGCCATTCTGACAGGTGGTATCTCATTGTAGTTTTGATTTGCATTTCCCTAATAATTAGTGATGTTGAACATCTTTTCATGTGTCTGTTGGCCTTCTGTATATCTTCTTTGGAAAAATGTTCAGATCTTTTTCCCATTTTTTAATTGGCTTGTTTTTTTGTTGTTGAGATGTATGAGTTATTTACGTATTTTGGATATTAACCCCTTATCAGATACATGGTTTACAAATTTCTCCTCCCAATTGTTATGTTGTCTTTTCGTTTTGTTGATGGTTTCCTTTGCTGTGCAGAAGCTTTTTAGTCCCATCTGTAGTCTCATTTGTAAACCCACACATCTATGGACAGCTAATTTTTGACAAGGGAGCCAAGAACATACAGTGGAGAAAGAAAAGTCTCTTCAATAAACCATGTTGGGCAAACTGGACAGCCACATGTAAAAGAATGAAAGTAGACCATTAGCCTACACCATACACAAAAATTAACTCAAAATGGACTAAAGACTTGAATGTAAGACCAGAAACCATAAAACTTCTAGAAGAAAACATAGGCAGTACACTCTTTGACATTGGTCTTAGCATCTTTTCAAATACCATGTCTCACCAGGCAAAGGAAATGAAAGAAAAAATAGTTGATGCTTCTTAACTGTGAGAGCCCAATCCTTTTGGTGTCTGTGGTCCTAGACTTCTGCTTGGCGATGGGATCAGAGCCATCCTCAGGGAGAGAACACCAAGTCTCCACCGAGCATTGGAGGAGATGGATGGAGATAAGAAAGAAGATGGGAAGCCAGAGAAAAGCTGAGTTGGGGGTGCTCCTCTCCTGGGCTCTGCAGTTGGGAGTTTGGTTCACACTGACAGTCCCAAGAATGCATGGGACCTATAAGTCAGTGTTACTAAAGTACGGTGACAATTGATCAGGTAGGTTTGTGGCAGGTGAGGAGAAGGAAATAATGTCATATAGGTGGGAATGCCTACGTGGGTCTGGAGTTTTGGCTGCCAAGCCCCTATTCTTCCAACCATCCATCTCCTTGTTCCAATTTGTCCTGGGACCGGAAAGACTTGAGAAAGTTGCCTGAGGCTGTAGAAATGGGTGTCACTATACACAGAGAGAACATGTCTACTTAGGTTCTGTTCCTGTTAGTTCTGGCTTGGACTTAACAAGGCAGGCCAAAGTGGTCAGTGTTAGCAGTTGATATTATTGTCACTGAAGTTGAAGGCTCCACAATATTGACAAAAATGTGGTTAAGAAGGATAATGTTGCAGTTAAGGGTATGGGCTCTGGAGTAGACTATATGGGTTCAAATCCTGAGTCACCCATTAAACTGGTGGGGAGCAAGTTATCTAAACTTTAATCTCATCTGTAAAATAGCAAAAATTGTGCCCACATCTTAAAGATGTGTTGAAAGTTAATGTGAAGAGTCCACTGTTTGGCACACAATAGAAATGAACTATCATTGGGGTAACATACTGTAAACTTCTTAGTGGCTCTTTCTGCATTCCATGTGTTTTAATGCCAACTCATTGTTCAAGACTCAGCTGAGGCACTGCTTTTAGGAAACCTCCCCTTCTCAGAAGTCACTGCTTACCCCTTGCTCCATCTTCTAGGATAGCAGCCTGACCTGTCTTTTACCTGACCGTGCACTCTAATGGTTTATAGCTCTGCTTCCCATATCAGATTGTATGCCTCTTGAGAACAGAGCACATAAGAAGTGCTGAATAGTATTCTGATGAATGAAGGATTTGACAAAAAAACTAAAGAGGGTCACATAGAAATCAGTGGGCAACAAGCTGACTTGATCAGTACCGTAGTGCTTTTGAAATATAGCTAAGGTGGTATTACCAGATAGTTTAAGGAGGCCTAGCACACAATGGCTGAGAAGTCTTATATTTGCTATTTTTATTATTTAAATCTTCATTGACAAAGGGAATAAGACAGCATGCCAAGAATTAAAGACAGAGAATGGATTCCAGAAGAGATCTTTAAAGTAAGGTGGGAAGCCTTGCCCTAGTCTTTTTAATTTTAGCCATTATGGTGGGTGAGTAATGGTATCTCATGGTTTCAATTTGCATTTCCCTGATGACTAATGACGGTAAGCCCTTTTTCCTGTGCTTATGCCATTTATATGTATTTCCTTTGTGAAGTATCTGGACAAATCATTAGCCCATTTAAAAAAATTCGGTTTGTCTTTTTTTTTGTATTGCTTTTTTTTTTTTTT